CCAGCCCGTCAGGGTAAGCAGCTGGTGGGCCGGGACAGTTTGTTTACTTAGGTTTACCTCCGTGCCTGCGGACGCTCAAGGTAAACAAACCATCTCTGCCTGCCAGCAGCTTATCCTGATGGCCCAGGAGCCGAAGTTTGCTGCCCCCTGAATTATAGAGTCGGCTTATGAATGGGTCATAAAAAAATTTCCATTTTTACTTATCCATCTTGGGGGGGGTCGGCTTATAAACAAACCAGCTTACGATCAAATATATACAGTAATTTGGCAAAAGTATAATTTCAGGCTCCTTACTTTGAAAGGACCACTTCCCAATTCGCATCTCAAGAACACAGGAGTCAAAATGCAGAAGAGTGCCTTTTCTTTTATTTCATTTTTTAAATACCATGTTTGTTTTGCTGTTAAAGGACCCAGATGCTTCAGCAATGGATGCATGCATGTATATAAAGAAATGTATAGCCATTTTAAAAAAATACTTCCTTTACACACAGAGTCAAGATCATGTCATTACCAAGTGCCAGAAAATTCAATGTAAAGTTGACACCCATGCCAGTGTGAGTTTAAGGGGTATTAGCATCCACGCCAGAATTTCACTGCTTTAACACAGAAGTGTTTACATTATTTTTTTAAAAATATTTATAAAAAAAGCTTTGTAATCTAAACATTATCCTCTAGGGCCTAGCAAGTGCAAATAAATATTCATAACCTACACCAAGGGTAATCAGTAGGCAGCCTGCAGACCAAATCTGGACCGCCAGACACTTTTGAATGGACCCTGAAATCTTTTTATTTACTTATTATCATTATTGGGGGGCTTTATTATTTTCTCTGAAGTCTGGGCCTTGACTATACCTTGACAAAGAAACTGGAACCTTGACAAAAAATGATTGACTACCCTTACCAACAGCATTACAAAGCCAAATAGACCAGTACTGTGCTAACAAATAAAAGCCAGACAACAAGACTAACGTAGTTTCATCATGTAAACTGAAGACTAAACACTGAAAAGCAAGAGTAAAAAATAATACCCAAAAAGAGAATTTCCTTCCTTTATTACTAATTTTTAAAACTCAGTGCAATTGTCACCAAAGGATGTGAAATCTCATGCAACATGCTGGACCTGTTGAACAAATATTACATAATGGAATTTCTGAAATTCCTTTCTGACCCTTCTTGTTTATAACCCAAAACGTGAAAATAATAGTCCTCATTTTTTCGTCCTAGCTAACGTCATGCAGATATTCTTGTTCGGGTATCAAATCCCTTTTCGAATCCTAGAATTTGTCTTAATATCCTTTTTAAAAAAGCTAAATATAGGAGACCTGTAAATAAGCTGAGAATATACTTATCTACTCTTCTCATGGCTTTGGATATTAGAAAGATGCTATAAAATGCAGTCTCATAATTCCATATTTGCCTATTTAGATATTAGTATAATTTGTTGTATTGTATTTAAGTTTACAGTGTTCTTTTTTTAAAATTAAAAAAAAAAAATAGACATGACAGGCCAGATTCTCTCTTGCAGCTGGGCTCTTCTTGGTGCAGGAATGAGTTCAAAGGGTCCAGAGCCAGTAACGGCTTCCCAATTTTGAGGGCCAGTCTTCACCAGCCCTGGAGATCCATAGAACAGCCCCTCAGCATGCAGAGTAGCACTGTTTCAGTGTCATTTTTAACTCAATTGGTTTAACTCCTGGGTGGACAATCTGATTCTGGTATGAACCAGGCTTGTTTAGGTTTAGTTCCACACAGTTAGAACAAGTATAAATTAAACAGCCATAAATCAAGCAAACTGAAGTAAGTATCAGCAAAGGTGTTTGCACCATTTCAACTAGACAGGTTTTAACAAAAACTGCAAGTTTGTTTGTGAACTAGACCTATGATAAACTTCTCTAGATGTGTTTCAGAGTAGCAGCCGTCAGTTAGTTAGTTAGTTAGTCTGTATCCGCAAAAAGAAAAGGAGTACTTGTGGCACCTTATAGACTAACCAATTTATTTGAGCATAAGCTTTCGTGAGCTACAGCTCACATTTGCTCCAACCCCTCAGACAGAGACAAGCACCTACAAGATCTCTATCAAGTGTTCTTACAACTACAATACCCACCTGCTGAAGTGAAGAAACAGACTGACAGAGCCAGAAGAGTACCCAGAAGTTACCTACTACAGGACACGCCCAACAAAGAAAATAACAGAACGCCACTAGCCGTCACCTTCAGCCCCCAACTAAAACCTCTCCAGCGCATCATCAAGGATCTACAACCTATCCTGGAGGACGATCCATCACTCTCACAGATCTTGGGAGACAAGCCAGTCCTTGCTTACAGACAGCCCCCCAACCTGAATTGGAATTAATTTGCAAACTGGACACCATTAAATTAGGCTTGAATAAAGACTGGGAGTGGATGTGTCATTACACAAAGTAAAACTATTTCCCCATGTTTATTCCCCTCCTTGACCCCCCACTGTTCCTCACATGTTCTTGTCAACTGCTGGAAATGGCCCACCTTGATTATCACTACAAAAGGTTTTTTTTCTTCTCCTGCTGGTAATAGCTCACCTTACCTGATCACTCTCATTACAGTGTGTATGGTAACACCCATTGTTTCATGTTCTCTGTGTATATAAAATCCCCCTACTGTATTTTCCACTGCATGCATCCGATGAAGTGAGCTGTAGCTCACGAAAGCTTATGCTCAAATAAATTTGTTAGTCTCTAACATGCCCCAAGTCCTCCTTTTCTTTTTGCAGATACAGATTAACATGGCTACTACTCTGAAACTGTAATTACAGTTATTCTATCTAGATTCAGCAATGAACAGGCTTTTATTTATTTCACAGTAGAAGAGAACATGTACATAACATGTAGAAAATGGACCTGGCATGTTTGTTTGTTTGTGTGAGGGGGTTGATGAAAGACAGGGACAAAGTACACCCCCGCCCCTTATTTGTTTCTGAATGTTATAGTGTAACCTATTGAACACAACACACACAATGGAAAATTCATGCACTTCTCAGGGAACATTTCTCTTTCAAAAGTTCAACTGGACAAAATATATAAAGTTTGAAGTGTCATGGGATATTACAAAGAACACCAAAAAAAAAAAAAAAAAAAAACACAATCATACAAGAACTCCCTAAACAACTAATTATTTTCAACCCATTGTATGTATTCAAATCAAAATGTACTGCTGAAAAATCATGAACCTCCTCACAGGAAAATAAGTTGAATTGAGTCTGAGCTACAAGAAAAATCTATTTATCTTAGGGCCTTTTTCAGAACACATCATCATGTTATCTCTAAATGCAAACACTGTAAGTGCATCAAACTTTCATTTTACTGATCAGGATCTTTACCCCAGAAGGCAAACTGACTACCAACAACTCCAGGAAGTTTGTTTGCAGGACTAATTCTTAGAGATAATGGCTTCCACATTCCCCCCATCACATTCCTCCCTTGGCTGAAGGAGCTGTTAAATTATCCAGTCTTGGCAAAGTGAGGAAAAAAGCTTCCTATTTGAACATCGATATGGTTAAACCATCACAGGGGTTTCTTTTCTGTTTTCTCCTTCAAGGGGAATTTATTTTCTTTTGGTGATGGTGGTTAAATGACATTAGAATAGCTACCTACACCTACAAAGAACACTGCTATTAAGAGGACACAGGAAAATTAGAGATATGGAGGATGGGGGAAACTGCCTCTTGCTAAATGTCCAGTGCTGTTTAGTCATCCAATTTAACCAATGCTATGTCTGTTCCTTTTCTGTCACCTTAAGGAGAGAAGAAGAGACACAGCAGGTTTGAGTGACCTCCTCCAGAGAAGTGTGCTGCAGCCTTGATTAGATATACCTAGCTGAGGAGACTCAGAGTCGTGCACTGCCCATCCTCCAGTTTCAGTAAGGGGAGATGGAAGAGTCTATTCTTCCTTGTGAATAGGAACAGCAGAATACCTGAGGAGGTACCAGCACTCTTCTTGTCAGATGACCTGGGAGGAGAGAGTCTTTTAAGAATTTCTCTGTTAAATTGCAGAGTACTGATTTTGTTAATTTCTTTGTTAAATTGCAGAGTGTTGATAACATCAACTCTGCCTCACAATAAAGTTAGACAAAGGATAAAATGAAGGCATTCCTGAGAAATAATTCACTTGAGCTGAGATGGAGGTTAAAAGGGGACATTCAGGTGACTAACTTAAGCCATAAAATGTAGACACTGGAGGAACAGAATGACAGAAGTGAGCTCAATTTTTTTATTTTTTTGTAATGCAAAAGATTCCATCGCAGCGTGTTGGATCTTAACAGCACCACTGAATGAGGCTTACAAATCTAGTGGCACTGTCCACACTAGATGAAATGGAAAACAGTAAACAGACAACATAATTGTGAGCAAAAGTACCTTGACAAGCAAGTGTCTTGTTTAAACGTGTTTTATAAGTAACACATATAAAACAGTTTAAAACATTATACACTTATTTTTATCCTGATCTTTATCCCTTTAAGAATCTCACCAGTAGGAAATAAAGGAAAATGACCATTTCTAGACTGCATAATCTTTTCTGGAAGAATTCCCTACCTCCAAGTTTAACAGCCCTTCTCTGTTATAGGAGAAGCATATTTAGCTAGTGAGCAGAAAGATCCCAAGGAAGGAGGGCGACGAAGACCACAGGAGCCCTCTCTTCTGCTCTTCTTCTTGGTCCCTCCGCTTTCAAAGCCTTAGAGTGTAAAGGTCAAGGGTAGACAGGCTGAGTCACACTCTGATCTTAGTTACACCAATAGCTCCAGGGACGCTGTCCTGATTTCTACAGAAAATGCAGCCAATTCCAAACTCTGAGCGGGGGTGCCCACCCCCACGCAAAAATCTCACCCTACCCCAGCCCCCAAGCAAAAATCTCACCCCCACCCCGTGAAACCACCAAACAAACACGTAGCAAGAAAAACAAAAGCCACAGTCAGCCACTAGAAACCCAAACGATCCGCCTGTAAATATTTAACTTTTGCTACTGTAACTACCAACACAGGAGTGCCGTCAGGAACTGGGAACTGTGCCACTGACATCAATGGGAGCAGGATCTGGCCCTTAAAAACGCACTATCCCAGGCTGATCTCTCCGCGCCAGAGGCTGATCGCAGCACGTAACAATGTGGTTCTCCTAGAAGGAAAGCTGGGCTGGGTTTACACTGGGATGACGAGCCCCAGCCCTTCCACGACTGGCACATGTGGGCTTCCAGAGGCGGCTAAATCCTTCACTCTCGGGGCTGCTACTTCTTCATACTTCGCGGGAGAACATCGCCCGGCAGCGTCCAAACCCAGCACACCCAGAAAGAAGCGAAACCAACGGGGCAGCCGCTCACCGGAGCCTCTGCACCACAAGAACTTCGGGGCAGCCGCTCACCGGAGCCTCTGCACCACAAGAACTTCGGGGCAGCCGCTCACCGGAGCCTCTGCACCACAAGAACTTCAGGGCAGCTCAGCTGACTGACACATGCTGCTGCTACTACCCGCAAGTTACACTGGAAAAAGCAAAGCCTCCCCCGCCCTCCAGTAACTACTGCAGCAGCCACAGCCCTGCCACGCCGCCCTGCCCGCGTGTAACTCCCGGCTGCAGCGGGGCAAAGCAGCAGTGGCCGCGGGCAGACCTACCTTCGTGCCCGGATCCTGCCGCTGCTCTGCCCGCGCTCCGCCTGCCAGCCGAGGGCTCTAGCGCGCCGCTCTAGTACTCGGGCCGCCGCCTGCCCCGCCAGCCTCCCGCACTCACTCAGCCACACGGAGCCTCAGCCGCCACGCAGCTGTCAGCCCAGAGGCGTGAGTGCAGCCTCACGTGCAGATGCTGAGCCAATCCAGAGCGCCAGACTGCCCTCCCGCCCATGTGAATTGTGATCGCTCCAGGAGCTTACTTCAGGTTTGGGACTTTCCAGAGGCGGGAGAAGGCGCAGGATCCCAAGTGAGCAGGGTTTTGATCCTGCTCTGCATCCTCCTCCCCACCAATGTCCAGTGCAGGCTGGGGGCCAGCAGTTCCCTCTGAAGCAAGAGAGATCGTGTAAAATAAAATATAATAATAACTAATGACCAGGCTTGAAAGCATGGACAGAAGGAGAAAGAGAATGTAAGGGGGAGTGGGGACAGAAATCTTGGAAAGAAGGAACCAGGGAAACCTTCCAGAGAATTCAGAGTAGCAGCCCTGTTAGTCTGTATTCACAAAAAGAAAAGGAGTACTTGTGGCACCTTAGAGACTAACCAATTTATTTGAGCATAAGTTTTCGTGAGCTACAGCTCACTTCATCGGATGCATAAAGTGGAAAGTACAGTGAGAAGATTTTATACATACACACAGACCATTAAAAATATACATTGTAAGGAGCATGATCACTTAAGATGAGCTGTTACCAGCAGGAGAGTGGGGTGGGGGGAGAGAAAACCTTTTGAAGTGATAATCAAGGTGGGCCATTTCAAGAGAAGAAAGTGTTGATCATTCAATGGTTTTCCTTCACGGTTTGAACACTGATGGATATGCAAAAGTGTGTTACATCAATTCTAAGGTATCAAGACTGTCCATTTAACACAAACAACGACAAATCCTAAACTAAAAGCAAGTTAGTGAGAAAAGCTAAAGGAAGAGTAATTGCCCTAAAAGGGGTTTATTTCTCAGTCACTCCTTGAAATCAACAAAGGGAAATCAATGGGAGTTAGGTGGCTAAATACCTTTCAGGATCTGGGCCTTAAACTCAGTAACGCTGTGGTTAAAAACTGAAGCTGGCCAAAAAAAAATCTATCAAAGCTTCTTTTCCCCCAGAAAATGGCTATTTTGACAAAACAGAAATTTTCACAAAAAATGTCCATTTTTGTAAAAGAAAAGTCACAGGTTTTTAGTAAAAAAAGATATAATCGTTTGTTTTTTCAACAGAAACACATTTTAAACAAAAATATTTTTGCTTTAGACAACATTTCACAATCTGCACTATAGTAGTAGCAGGGTGGCTTTTATTGACTTCCCAGAAAGGGAGGCTTATTGGTACAGGAGCAGCTTAGAGGAATAGAGTCTAAAGCAAACACATATGAACGTGAGTGGCTTCACAAATGAGTTGTATTCAGGGAGGCAACTGGCATGTTTGCAGGGCTGGATCTTAAATATAGAATTAAAAGAATTTTGAAGAGGTGGGAAATCCAAACAACATGGAATTCATTTAGAAAATGTAATTCTAGTTTTCTGTATCATAAACTTCACAATACTAAATTTGCTCAGAAAAGCTGACATTATATCTACCTAGTGACAGAATACAAATCAGTATGGGAAGGAATTTTTGCCTTATTGAATGAATTCAGGGACTGAATCTTAAACAGCAATGGATAATGTTACGGTAGGAAGACACAGTAACTACCAACATAGGCCTCAATCTTGCAATCTTTTCTGTCTGCATGGAACCTCTGTTCTAAGGTCCACCTGCATGGAACAACTTGCAGGATCAAGACCATATTTTGCTACAGTACTTGTCAAATTACTTTGATTATTAAATGAAAAGATTTGTCCTACTTTTGGGTTGTCCCATGTGACATGACATTAGCATACGATGTCACCGTGACATCAGTGTAAATTCAATGTTTAAAAACAGGTAAACCAGCTAGAATGAAAATCCTCTTGATCTGTTTTCATGTCTATAATGTTAAGAGGGTATTTTGTAATGTTTTCAGTTGCATCTTTTTTCATTTTTTACAGCATTTGAGGAGAGCCAGTATTTAATTATACAGTTTTAGTCAAGAGTTTTATATTTACAATCATTTTATCTAACACTGCAGACTAACAGTTCACTAGCCACTTAGTTCAGTTTTGTTTCTTAAACTACTACATTTCCCACTAAAGTTAAGTGAAGTGTAATCATCGATCATTAGAGGGCACGACTGGGCCCTGTATCATTACAATCTGTTAAATTTTAATTAATTTAGGACTCAATCCAACATCCAGGGAATCTATGGAATGACTCCCATAAATTTCAGAGTGTTGGATGGGGGCTGTGGAAAACATCTAGCTGACTCTGTGTTAGACTCTGTAGCAGAACCTCCTCCAGGTGTCTGACCTTCTCCCTTTTTGTACTGAAGACCTGTTATTTTTCATTTGTCCAGCACTGGCCTTCCGTTTTCCCTGTAGTGTGAGGTTAAACTCTCAAATCAGGTCCTTTCTTTCTGAGACTCTCATTGCCAATACAGCCAGATGTTTCCAGCACTCACAGATTTTTATCTAATGCACAGCTTTGGAAGGAAGCCAAGGGCAACTGGCCAGGACTTCCAAAAGGGTAAAGCCACATGCAAAGCCAGTCAAAGCCAGACAAAGAAGCTAGCCCTCGTCACATTGCTATAAAATGCAGTATTGTTGACACCAAGAAATCACAAGTCAGGCCTAAAAAAAAAATGAGATTTTTCAAAATACTAGATGATGTATACTTTTTTATTTGCTTTCTGGTTTTCTAAGCCTTGAAGGTACACCTGGGTCACATTTTCAGACTGTTCTCTTCAACGAGTGCTAGAAATTTGAAAGTGAGGAGTATAAATACCTTTGAGGGTCTAGACCTTGCTTCTTCTTAAAACTGAACACTAAGATTTCAAGTAATTTCATCATTTCAGGGGCGGAGGAGAAAAACATCAAATATCATGAGAAATGACAGTACTGAAAATGGCAATTTTCAGCCCTATTTTACCAGCTCTCTTCTTTTTTCTTTCTTCATTTCTAGTTCTTTTCCTCGTGGGTTCTCTTTACAATTTTTTATGCCACACCTAGGAAGGTGAGTGTTACATTTTATGCTTAAAAGCTGCATTCCAAGTCCAGCTGCTACTCTTCTCACCCGCAGTCTTACTGCCAGCTGTTACCCATATCTTTCAAATGTCCTTCATTTTTACCTTCATCGTCTATTGGCCTTATGGTATCTCACATTCATTAGTTAATTATTGATATCTGAAATGTTGAATCATGAAGCTGACGTAGTAAGGTCTAGTGCAATGGGAGGAAGTAGGAGATCCTTAGGAAGAAGAGGAAAGATGCATCACTAAGAAGCAATTCGTATTACATAAGTAGCACTGTGGAGACTCTGTGTGCCATTGCACAGCCCAAATAATAGTAGATAAGCAATCTTGTAAAACAAGTCTGCTGTTCCATCAAGGGAATCTGGTGTGGCAGCATCCTAAAACAGAAGAGAGATGATTCAATATTTTTAATATCAACAAGAATCTAACATGCAGACAACAGCATTGTTATCCATGATAGTTTTCCCCTGGCACATGATTTTTAAAATCCATATTGTGCAAAATGAAACATTTTCAACATTTAGAATAATCTTTGTCATCTTTTTGTTCCTTCTATCTCCTCACTTTTACCTCCTTCTGCTTACTCTTTCCCCATTTGTATTCTAACTGATGTCCCTAACTGAAAGTTCAGGTATATCCTAACTCGTACCTCCAACTGAACATCAAAAGTGTAACTAAATCCAAGTATTTTCCAAAACAATGGGCCTGATTCTCCTCTCACAACATTTTTATTGATATAATGCCATTTACCCTTCTGGAGTAACTCTGGATTTTGGATAGTATTAAGAGGAAGAGTATGACCCTAAACTTTTCATTATGAAAATCGAAGAAGGAATGTGATTTGGGTATGAATACGAGCTATGGAAAGCTCTGACTGGCTACCGGTTATAGGTTTTAGAAAATGGAAACATTTTATTGATTCTGATTGGCTCAGCTGTTAATTGCAGGGCTTGCTTTACCAACTGATGGATCTAGGTATAACATTTCTGATTGACAGGGAAGTTTATTATGCATGGCTGTTGTTAGGGAGCTTATTCCTTCACCCACTTACTTCCCTGGTCCTTCTCGCATGAACAGAGAGCACAATACCCGAAGTCCAAAGGTGCAAACAATTCGATGTTTATTGGGGTGAACTTCCAGCAAGCATGATTCCAGTTTCCTTCCTTAGTATCCTCCTTCCCAGCTCTGACACCACAGAGCCTTACACCTGTGTCCCTGTTCCCATTCCTACCCTTAGCCAAACATGATTCCAACTTCCTTATTCCCATTCCCTGTTCCCATTTCCCCCTTTAGCAAAACATGATTCCAATTTTCTTACCCCCATTCCCTGTTCCCATCTCCTCCACCCACCCACCCCCTCCCACCGACACCTACTCACTTCCTCATTGACTACAGATTATATAGTAAAACTTGAGTTCTGCTTAGCTATACCTTAACCAATCATTTTCCTGAAATTTAACTAACCAATCCTAACATATTGTAACATGATTATGTAACCAATTATATCCC